CTCTCCTCACAGAATTCTCATTTGTCCATTTGGACTTGTTCCGCTCATGAAACTTCGTTTCAATCCTTAAACCTGCCAATCCACTTGCCAATCCGGCCCTCTCGCTATGTGCCATGCCCTAACGAGGATAACGAGGCGAAATGTTGGTATTGTCAGCCCGTGATAGGCTCGCAGTAGGGTTATATAACCCTCTGCTTGGCTTTTTTTGTTTCGGTACGCTTCGCGATGGCGTTCAAGATGATTATGATTGTGGGGTGATAGCGTCAAAAGTGGGGAAAGAACGTTTGATACAGTGGTGATGTAAAGGAAGGCGTAATTGAGGGGGGTTTAAACTTGAGAAAGCAAATAAAAAGATCGAGATTAAGCACAGTGAGTATAGACAAAGGTAGTAGGAGAGAGACTGCGAGTGAGGTATTCGTCAAGTACGGAGTAGTCTGGTAAATGAGAGGGGAAAAAAAAACCGGGGAAACTCGGATGACGGCGATAATTTCTAGATCACCTGACTAAAGAGCATCCCACGCCCTAATTTTCTAGATGTGTCAGGGATACAGCGGTAATTAGCGACATGCAGGGTAATTATGATTACATATGGTATACTCCGTACTCCGTACGACTTTGATAGTTCTTCACAGTGCTGTGTAGTCTGTATCGAGTGCCGAAGAGCATATTATTCTATACTTGAATTGCCTGAAAAAAAGCTCCAATCTAGTAGACTTACAAAGGCCAGTATACCATAGAAGCTCTGACCAGTCGGCCAATATTACGTGCCCGCATATGGGTTCAGGGGTCAAGCCATGGGTTTAACCGCGCGCAAGGGGCGCTTGTTTGGGAATACCTCCTTTTGGCTTTTGGAGATGTGAAAGGAGTTGCTATTCAGACTCAACGTCGTCTTGGCAGACATCTCCTTTGTTCCTTTTTTTTGTTCCTGCCTTTTTTTCCCACCTTGTCGCTCTGGCAGTAATTTCTTTCTCCTTGTGTCGACCTCCGTGCTGGACCGAAGTGCAGACCAGCCCCCACTATTCTGATTCAAGGCACTGTCTCTCATTTAGACCAACTCACCAAGTGCTCGCGACCCCGGTCGACTTTTTTTACTGTCTAGTATTTGTGGATTACTTGGATACAGGAAATTTGAAGGCTCGCGCATTGCTTTTATCCCGCGCTTGTCTTCTTAACTTCCGTATTCCTGGATCGCTAGTCACTCCTTGCGCTCACGTCTTGTTCCAATCCCATTGCTCTTGATACCACACTCATTTACACCGCAACATGACTAGGCCTCAGATGATCCGAGCTGGTAGGTCACATGCTTCTGGAGCGCGAGGCCAATTGGTTCGAAATTGAAGGTGTTGACCGCCACTAGATACCTTGGACCTTCAAGATCACGATACCCCTTCCGCCAAAGATCACACCAAACAACCCGAACAACCAGATCCTCTTGGGAGCGGCCGGCCTGCTCCCAATCAAGGGCTTGCTATTCGCCATGCCGAGCAAGATTCGCAAGCGGAATTAAAGGACGGATCGCACAAAAATCAAGAATACCGCAGCGACAAGGAGGCGTATCGCGAAGCAGACGACGAGGAAGACGATGAGGATGAAAATCACTACGAGAATGAAGATGGCGACCTGGCAGACGGCGAAAGCGATGATATGATGGACGATGATATGATGGACAAAATCTCCAGCTCGCCCTCTATCGATGATGGTACGGACTCTCGGGGACTATAGACATCAATCGGGCGTTAACTGATGTTATACAGAGGATATCGACTTCGAGTTTGTATATGCGCTTCATAACTTCGTCGCGACGGTCGATGGGCAAGCGAATGCCGCAAAGGGTGATACTATGGTTCTTCTCGACGACAGCAACAGCTACTGGTGGCTTGTGCGGGTGGTGAAGGATGGCAGCATCGGTTACCTCCCTGCGGAACACATTGAAACACCAACCGAGAGGCTTGCCAGATTGAATAAACACAGAAACGTGGATTTGTCTGCGACCATGTTGGGTGACAATAACGAAAAGTCGAAGAATCCTCTGAAGAAGGCCATGCGCCGTCGGAATGCGAAGACCGTCAACTTCGGAGCCCCGACGTACATCGATGCCTCCGACGTCGACTACTCAACGGACGACGATTCCGAACACGGCGACTTTTTCAATGACGACGAGACTCTGGACGGAGAAGAGGAAGACGTGCAAGAGCAAGCTGAAGATATTGTCGTGGAACCTCTTCGGCCAAAAGCCCAGAAAGAGAACCAAAACCCCACAGAGCATGTCGATGCTAACGGTGTAGAGAAACAAGATTTGCAGCGTTCAAACTCTGATCGACGCCCGTCTAGTGAAGAGTTCTTCGAAGCAGAAGGTAAACACACTCAACTCAACTTCTCTCTGGCGGTATCTGAACTTACTTTTACAAAGCAGAAGCCCCCGTCAGTAGATCCAGAAATGGCACTGTACGGAACACCGATTCCTTCTTCAAAGACGACACGGCCGAGCCCAAGAAGATTTCTCTCACTCCAAATCTCCTGCGCGATATTCGCGACGAAAACAGCACAAACACATTAGCTGAGTGGAAAGAGGTATGTTTCCTTTGTGGGCTTATCCAAAGACTGGTTGGCTGACGTTTTGGTGAAGCCTCGTGGAAGCCTTGAATCTATCGAAAAGGGCTCGAACTCTCAAGACAAGACCAAAGACAAAGAGGAGAAGAAGCGTAAAGACAAAAAACCTGGAATGCTGAGCGGGTTATTCAAGCGCAAGAAGAGCAAAGATGACATTGACGACCTAGAGAGGTCTCCAGAGTCGGCATCCCGCACATCACCCCAACCCAAGACCTCGATGGACTCTGTCTCATCAAAGTCTATGTCCCCCGAACAACAGCGACCCTCTAAGCCCCAGAAATTCTCAAACAACAAGCTACACAAGCAGCCCCGAGGAATCATGAAGGTTGATCCTGTCCTTGACCCTACGATGGCCGAGTTCGCCAGGGGCAACGAGGCCATTAACCAGAGCCAGGGCAACAAAAGCATTCGACAGGTGTCACAAGAAGAAAGAGAGAGCAGTTACGAAGATTGTGAAATTGTGTTACAATCGCCTATCAGCCAATCGAGTTTTTCCAAGGATCCCTTTGCTACTCCGCTGGAATCCATGGACCCCATGGAGTCGCCCGTTGATCGACCATCTAGTGAATCTCAATGGAGGGGACCTAACGATCCAAGTCGTACAACGGCCGGACCAGCGTCCGCCCAGAAATTCGTCCCTACGCTGGTGGCTGGAGATGAGTCGGAGTCTCCTGTCAATATTTCTCCCGTGGAGGTTTATTCCCCCATGAGCGCACGCGGTTCGACAAGCAATGTCTCTCCTCGAGACGTACGCTCTCGCTCGCCACCGTCTCCACCATCATCACCCGGACAGGACGTCAATTACCCCAAGGGTGGCACGGCTACTCCTGCTTTAGTCGACACCCTTTCTGTGGACACCCCGACGTGGAGCGACTCCAGTCTGCGATCCTACATGGACGAAGAAAATGACATTCGCGACTTGTTTATTATTGTCCACGACAAATCAAATGTACCTCCCGCTGGCCCTGACCACCCCATCACCGGTCGCCTATTCAAGGAGGAAAGCAAGAGGCTCAAGGAGATGAACAACCAGCTTGACGAGATGCTTGTGAACTGGATGTCACAGCGGAGTAACAGCTCGACTCGTGGCATTCGGAGTCCACAAGTGTAATCAAGTGTGTATGAATCTCTTGAAACCAAAACCATGTGTTGATAGGTAGTCCGCCTTGCATGGCGATGAAGGCCAGGATGTTTCTGAATGTGCTGGGCGCATCACTTTTGGCCGGTCTTATTTTTTTTCTTATTTTTTCTTACTTTTTGTGCTGTGTCTTGATGCCACTGCTTGGCGCACTCTTGTTCTGCATTTTTCCATCGCCCCAGAGAGCGATGTGACCCTGAACGTCTAACGGCCAGCTCTATTTACACCATGCTTTCCATCTTTTTCTTCGATTTTTACCGGAATACCCCGACTCATCCGTGTTCAGCTTTATTTCTTTCACATCTTATCATTCAAGGTTAATCGACTGGCGTATCTCAATACAATATCAGTTGCCGAACAGATTTCCCCTGGGAAGAGAAAAAAAAAACATTAGAAGGCACACTCCTCAAACTATACATGTGTACAGATAAGCAAATGATCAGTATCTGACTGGAGAGCAGGTGCATTCCGAAGTCCCGGCGAGGGTCGTGTGGGTTGGTCAGCTGCACCATGACGCATGTACATATAGGGCCCGCAAGTCATCTGTCTGATCTATCTCTGCAAGGTGAGACTTTCCTGTTTTAGCTGCCGCCGCTTTAATCAGGGCGCTCAGAGTCAGGCTCACCGAGTAATTTCAGTGAGCTGCTCGGTGAAGTCACGTGGCGGATCAGTATCAATCTATTAGATCTGTATAGTAGAGTTGCATGTCCCCCATCTTTGTGCAAATAGGAGCTAGGTACGGAAACGCCTTTCTAGCTCAGGAAGCGAGAGGCCAAAGATTGATTTATCTAATTGACAACAATACCAGCATATACAACTCTTCAACAATAATGAATCTGTGACGACAACGCTTCAGTGCCACGGCTTCCTAAGCCTGAGCCCGAAAGCTTGGGAACTACGCTGAGAACCGATTGGTCAATTACAAATGGCTCACTTTCCATTCAGATTCGTACAACATAAGCGATGCTCAAAATGAAATATTGTTGATCAGTGGGGCTAGTGTATTGGTAGTTTAGTTAGGTTACTGTTCCGCTCCGGAGGCTCCGAAGAGGCTCAATGAGCGAATCGGGGCACTCCGGTCAGGCTCGGTGATCGATTGAGATGATCTCAATGAGCAAAAGCGGCGGGAGGGGCGAGTACTAATACGGAAGGGGCAAAGGAAACCCGGCACATAGGTACGGAGTATATAGGAACCTTCCTGTGTTCCCGTTCTTGACGCGACAGGATTCCTTAACATATCTATCGCATCACCATGGGAGATCCATACAATACTTACAACTCACACTCAACGCCTACCCCGAGCGGGGTTGACTACTATCGCCCAGAGGATCAGCCTCAGTACCCGGTATATGGTCACCGGCAGCCTTACGGAAACCAAGGGCCATACCAGAACCCCGGATCAGAGCCTTACCAGCCCAGTCCAAACCCAAACCAAGCCTATGCTCCACAGCAAAGTCCATACCAACTTGCGCCAGATCCATATGGATCCTCCACCGAAAGAAGCTATACGCCGACAGGGCAGCCAGACTACCTTGGGCCAGTGGTTCCGACAGGATACCAACATGCGCAAGACAGAATCCCCGGGAACGCGGAATACTAGTGAGTGGGCGATGCATACCCAGCTGTGAAAAGCTATAGTACTAACACCGAGCCCTAGCAATAACCATCCGGCCAGCCAACCACGGTACACACCCTCCGCAAGTCCCCACCCTCCCGCCGTCTATGCATCAGAGCCAGAGTATTCACAGCGCAGTGGCGAACAGCGCTTCGATACAGATACCGACACTGACCGGGGTATGGACCGTGGGCTCGGGGGCTCGATCGCTGGCGGCGTGGCGGGCTATTATCTCGGCCATAAGAAGGAACATGGCTTGCTGGGTGCGATTGGTGGTGCGCTACTCGGGAACTTCATAGAGAACAAAGTGAAGGATCACAAGAGGCGTGACATTGATAGTGAATATGAGCATGGGCATGATCACGGTGATCATCGGAGCCGTCACCACCACCATCATGGCCATCGGAGCCATTCGAGGGATAGTAGTCATAGCGGCCATAGCGGGCACTCTCATCATACCAGCCATTCGAGACATTACTACGAGGATGAATACTGAGCGGATCTCGACTTCGGACAGTGTTCTTTTGCCTAGTGTTTCTTTTTTTCCTTTTTTTTTGTCGCGCTAGGATTCCGACCTTATGCCATGGAATTAAGTCATGTACTCTACTTTGCTCGAGACTTGCTATCGGTTTAGAGACAGCATTATTATCTTGATGCACTTGTTTTCATCATTCTCTTCAACCATTCCGATAAAGGACAAATACCCTCCTAATTATGTTTTCGGTACTGTGCCTAGATACTGAGCTATCATGGGCTTAGGAGGGTTTCTATCTTCCATAAAAACAAAGATTTCACCACACTATCCTTCCAATGTTGCAACTGTGGTGGTAACGGTAATCCGGCGTTGTTACCCCATATCGCTAATATGAAAGCGACGGATTCAATAGCTGGCAGTTTTCGAACCATTTTTAAGCGATAGTAGTATTGATCTTCTACATATATATGTATGCCCTGGTTTAGATCTAGGTAGACAGTCTCGGATTCATAGGAAGCAACGCTGGAGCCCGTTTCCCTTCCATATAAGACTAGGCAGCAAAGCTAGCTTGCGAAAGAAGGGTTGGCCAAGATTTTGAGTAGCATAATCTAGCCAGCCTAGAGCTGGGCTCTCCTATCCTTCTCGACCAGGCTGAAATTTATGATAGACATCGCTGATGCTATGCAGCCCACGATTTTGGTGTGACAAGGCCATAACATCAACAAGGGAATATTCAGAATGCCTGTTGACCTGCACTTTAGGGTGAATATTCTGTAATCGCATTTTTGTAAGGTGAGACTTTGCCTGGGAGACATGTGGCGATAAAAGCGGAATATGGGTGTGCCAGTGGAGATAAAATGCGGGGACGATATACGTACTAGCGCGTTTTAAGCCTAGAGGGAAACACTCTTGAACCCTTCACCTTCACGCAATCTTTTACTCTTACGCAAAGAAGCCATACAACATGGCAAATATCAATGAGGATCAAACACGCGATGAAATTGCCCAGCAACTTTCCCTCACTCCTTTCGCATGCTCCTCGCTCACACGCCTGTCTGGGGGCACAGCCAACTTTGTCTATCGAGGTAGACTTTCCTCAACTGGACAATCAATCGTCATCAAGCACACCAAGGATCACTCGGCCTCTAACCCAGATTTTAAAATCGATGTCAAGAGATGCGTTAGTTGCTTTTAATTGAATGAGCCTGCTTCGAACTATGCTGATCTCAAATTAGCACTTTGAGGAAGCCATTCTTCAAGCCCTCGATGGCCTGGCAATATATACGAATGGCAAAATAAGTGTCAAAGCACCGCACTTATTAGACTTTAATCAGGAGACAGACACCCAGGTTTTGGAAGATCTTCCAAATTCAATCGACCTGAAGAACTTCCTGCTCTCAGAGGTTTCGCATGACTTGTCCGAATCCTCAGGGCGAGCCTTGGGCGGTGCCCTGGGATCCTGGTTGAGATTGTTTCACAATTGGACGGCCGATGAACAGCAAATGGAATCTACAAAACTTCTCGGCGAGAACAAATTCATGAAAGATTTGAAATTCTGGGTGAACTACACTATGCTGATGGACACGATTGAAAACTTCCCCAGTATTCTGGAGGAGGATCGTGATATTTTCGAGAAGGTCCGCGACCTCGCTGCAGCGGAGCTTGAGCGACAGAGTCATGATGATGGATATGGAATTATTCACGGTGACTTCTGGACTGGAAAGTATGCTCTATTGGATCTAGACTTCATGAACTGAGCCAAGTTAATGACGTGATTTCTAGTGTTCTTCTTCCAAACGAGCCTCTCACTCGTCAAACCAAGACGACAATGTTCATTGTCGATTGGGAAATGTCGCATATCGGAAGCCGGGCATTGGACTTGGGCCAAATGATTGCAGAGTTGTACGAAACAAAGCTGTTCAAGAACGTGGACGGTGGACTGTGGATTATGCAAGGATTCCTAGAGGGATACGGGGCCCTTGATGATGAAATGGCTTTCCGCACTGCGATCCACGTTGGTGTGCACCTGATTTGCTGGGGAAGTAGAGTCCCTGGATGGGGAACTCAAAAGCAAATTGAGGAGGTGGTGAAGGTCGGAAGAGATTTGATCGTCCACGGCTGGAAAAAGGATAAGGACTGGTTCGCGGAAGGGAGTCTTAGTTGCCTGTTCAAGGATTGATTCTTTATGGTACCTTGTGGGTTTCCAAACTACTCAGACAAGGATTCAGAGCCCAAGCCAACCAAAATCCAACCATAAAACTAGCCCCTCGGCGATAAGGCACTGCTCGTGTTCGGCATCAATGAAGTTGTCTGACCCCGCGTGGCTCGGTGGGCAGCTCTTTGAAATTGCTTGATTGGCACCCACCTATGTATTAGAATTGGGATGGAATAAAAATTGATACTGGTTTTCAAAGTTTTGCATTGTTTTTGGTGGTTTTGGGTTTGTTTATGACACTTTAGAATACATCCAACTTTCCCTGCCAAATGTTGCCACTCATACTCCACGGACTGCACTCTTTGCTCTTCAACGCCCAAGTAGGGAGTTGGTGCAGCCTGTGGAGCGTAATTATTTCTTCTTCTCCACGACATCGACAAAGACATGTCCCAGGGGACCGGCCTCAGCACTCCATCCTCCATGCTGGATGGTGTACTTGTCGCTTTTGTCCAGCACCTCGACCAAGTTGGCGTAGTCTCCACCTCGGTTTTCCCAGTGGAGCTCACAAATCTTGTCATTGTCATGAAATAAGTCCAGGCGGCCCTCACTACCACGGCGGCTGCTAGCGCCGATCTCGCCAACGCCATCGTGGGAGATCTTGATCTCGTCAACCTCCTCTTCAGTGAGCGACTTGCGTCGGTTGTTGGGGTCGGTGAACTCGGCGCTGCCGAGTGTTAGTAGAGATCTATTGTATCTCTGTAATTATAGATACCCTTCAATGACAGTGTTTTGCACCAGGATCTCGCCATCTTTGATGTGGTCCCGAATGTGGAACGAGACCCACTGAGAATTGTACTTGTCCATATTATCCATATTGAAAATCTGTGAGGTATTTGTGATAATTGATGAAGAATTGTAGAAGTGAGACTCCTGGAAATCAATTCAGAGATGTCAACCTTTTATATATATATATATTACCCCAGAATGCGGGGAATGCTTGTAATGATGTAATTCATTCTACATACGCCCGGATGGTACGACCGCCAACACCATTGTCCAATGACCTACCCGAACCAGAGAACCTTCCTGGTCTTGCGGGGTTTACGTGCCTATCACCTCGTCTTACTACATCACTGGCCGCGTGATTTGAACGCTTAGTGCGGAGTGGCATGATAATTGGGCAATGAGCACATGACATGGCTGGTTTGAAGTTTCGTGAGGGATCATACCATAGTTCAGTACAACAAGACAACAAGACTCCAGCAAAATAGAAGATGGGACCACCGAGTCTCCAGCTTCCGACTTGCGGGTCAGACACATATAGCAAAGCCACCTCTCGTTGAGTGAGCCCGCGTAAAAGCCGGGGTATAGAGATAGCAGCTAGCGAGTCATGTATCACACAATTAATGTCGGGATGTAAGCAGAGTTTAATTTACCTCATGTGTGACAACATGCACAGTTAGCCCAATGAATTACTACACTAGTAAATTAATGCACACCAACTATAAATACGGGGCGTGCGGCCGGGCCGTAGGTAGCGAGGCTCTTCTACAATTTCCTTTAAATAGTATAGAACTATTAATACGAAATTCGATGACGAATATTGGACAACATCAAAATGGCTGCGAGTGGCGTGCATAGCCGCCAGCTCCACTTCGCCCTTCTACTTAGTGACCGTGGCAGCATCTTCAGGATTTTCAATGCATGTGCTAATGACCTTTTCCAGCTGGCTGAAGAGTTGAGCGGCTGATACTGACTTGCTTCGACGTCATAATAGGGACCTACCTATGTAGGATATCTAGAGATTAACAGGCGACCGCAGTTGATTGAAGCGTATAAAGATTAGCAGCGTGGATCTCCTCGGATATAAGGAGCAGCGTCTAGGTTGTTGTCTTATAAACAAGCATTACACCAAATTTAATGATCATTTGAAAACTTCTATCAAAGTTCTCTCATTTCATGAAGTTTCAATTGACCTTCATATCACACTACACCTTAGTCGACCTATCTACCCTCACTTTCGTTTAGGAAATAATCTCATTTTAACATTTCAATTCTTGCTATGAAACCTGCAAGTCATTGAAAACATGAATTGCATCATCAACGAACATGGCTCGTGGAGGCAGAGGCCCCCGAGGGCGACGACTGACATGCCCTCTGCACCATTACAGTACTTGATCGGTATACCGAGCATCAAGGCAGTAAAAGTGTGCTCAAATGGGCATTCAACCACAGTAAAATCCACTCACATCCTACCCCTCCAATGGACCGAGTGATCTACGTGCTATGAGAAATCCGAATCCGAAATTGCCACCGCAGAACCTTTGTATAGTGTCTTTGTTAAATACTATTCTTCTTTCTCATTGGATATCGGGAATTAATGCTAGCATTAAATCAACGAAGCTAAATTTATCATTATATATTCGTGCTCTTTCTCTTACTTTAGCTAGTCCGAGGGTTGAGAAAATTCATATAGTGCCTAAGTAGAGTAAGCCATACAAAAGAGACCTAATTGGGAAGATGTTGTGTCGGGCGCTTAGCACGGTTATATACGTTATTTTAATTGAATTCTAGCTTCTTATCCATGACTTTGAGATGTGTCGTTGCCACTTCCAAGTTATTTATGGGATGTAAGATCTTGGGAGTTTAGATGGTACCTTACGTACCGACATGTAGGTACCTAGTTAGGTATAGAACATTTGACTAATCGATCCTTATGATAACTAACTATCATGGCTCACATCGTACAACATAATGATGTGTTACCTAAATGCAGGGTGCTGCATTTCCAAGCTCGGAGAAGCCCTGATACGCCCATTTTATGCTTATCGCATGAGTCATCCGATCTGCGCCGATGAGCTCGATAAGGCAATCGATTCAGCTCTCGTGACACTCCAGAATGACCCCAAGATCTGTTCTCTCCAGTTCCTGCTTCGTTCACTTACTTAATACCTTCTCCTTCCAACTTACTCGGTCTATTAGCTCTACTAGACTTAGAGCATACATCCTCTCTTCTTCTCGTTCACATCGGATCCGCTTATCGCCCTTACCCCATACTTTGAATGCCACACGGTCCTACACGAGTCACTACTCGAGGCTGTACCAAGTCACCGGATCTATCAAAGACACCCTGATCGTCAGACCATGTCTCCTCCACTATTACAGTACCTCCTCTCTGGGACCCTTCCTGACCACTGTGAACCGACCTCGCCCTTCCTGACCGCCGTCTCCTCGCATCTCCACATCTGCATCCCCACTCCTCTCGCGGCGATCTCTTCCGTCCTTGGGACCCTCAGCATAGTCTCATGGCTTTTCGCACAACTACCCCAGATTTATAAGAACTACCAAGTGCAGTCGACGTCAGGCTTATCGATATTTTTCTTGGTAATCTGGTGCCTTGGTGACGCGAGCAACCTCGTTGGAGCGCTATATACCCGACAGGCAGGGTGGCAGGTCGTGATTGCCAGTTATTACGTCTTCGTTGATATCGCTCTGGTATTCCAGTTTTTCTGGTACACTCATTACAAACCTCGCCAGAATGATTCGTATGACGACTTGTCACATTCGCATGACTCGGCTCGTCGAAACATCATTCAAGGCGTGCCTCCTCCAGGCCACGACTCAGACAATCAGACCCCGGCTCCCGTCAACATGAACAACAAGCACCCCGAGGCCAAGGATGGGGGCTTCCAGGCCGGGTCAGCACTCGACTCGACCCATGTGCCAACAGCGTCATACTCAAACGAGAAATTGAGCTCATCGCGTCGATCTGTAAGGTTGGGCAGTAGCATGCAGAGCCCGCCATTCGCACTGCCCCGGACGATGCTCATGGCATCACTCCTTTGTGCCGTACTCGCAAACGCTGCCCCCACCGACAAGTCCGACACGTTCATTTCGGAAGCACCGCGGGAGACCATCGTCGAGATCATCGGCCGCGTCTTCTCTTGGATGTCAACAATCCTGTATCTCGGCTCACGCCCTCCACAGCTATACAAAAACTACCAGCGCAAGAGCACTGAAGGTCTTTCCCCACTGCTCTTCATGGCCGCATTCTGTGGGAACCTGTTCTACTCCAGCTCGATGCTCACCAACCCGAATGCTTGGTCCGATTTCTCCCCATATGGCGGCGGCGGCTGGGCTGACAACCACGGCAATAACAGATTGGAATGGATTGGACGCGCTACGCCGTTCTTCTTGGGTGCATTCGGTGTGTTGGGACTGGACGGGTTCATGGGTGTTCAGTTTCTCATGTATGGCGATGGTCCAGAGCACGAGGATGACGAGAGTTTCATCAGTGGCGATGGGGATGACCCAAAGCGCGGTCGCAGTCGCTGGAGGCATGTTCACGGCTGGATGCGAGGCTGGATCCCCTCTGCTTCGCCCCGGAGGGACTCAAGGGAATCTTCGGTTTCTCAAGAGGGACAGGCTTTGTTGGGCGCAGAGCGCGGCCGCTACGGCACTGTTTGATCGTGGCTGTTTATATGCGTATCTTTTGTTCTTCGTTTGTTTCTTGCCCACGTCTCTTGCGTAGGGTAGGTATGTTATATATGATGTGATGACTTCAGCGCTTTCATTTTTCTCACTTAGCATTTTCTTGTCTTTTGTTATTCGGGTGCATTTTGTGTGATTAGGTACATCGGCTTCATTCGCTTTCCATATGACCTGTTGTGTTTCCTGGGCGTTTTGGGGCTAGATAGCATATACAGGTACAACCAGACTGTCATGGAGGATTTTTTGGTTGTTGACAGCCTATAACTCTGAGATCTTCTTTTTCTTGTGCAATGCATTGTCTTTAAACTTTATGGCATGTCTTAGATTTCCCGGTTACTGATGGGCCATAGCGCACATTTACAAAAATAGACCAGGCTATTGAAAGGCCCATGCCACTGGTATAAGCCGAACGGAGGGGACATCAAAACGTAGATACCCCTGATATCAGTTATTTCATGAATCTCTTGTGATTTCAGCAATAAAGTGAGAAATACGGCGTCTACAATAAGCCCAATCTTCCCGAGACTCTTAGACAGCAAGGGACAGCAAGCCATGCCAGGTGCCGGTAATCATTTTACAAGGTTTCCCAAGCCCTAAGTGGAAGAATAACACGATTCTAGTTACTCATTTGATGTGTGCCTGGTCCCTTAATCAAGTCAGTCTAATTCATGCAGGAACCAATTGCCTTGTCTTGAGCGAGACAATCCTCGCTTCAAATTGCCATGTTTTCCAAGTGGAGCAGTAACGCCACAGACCTGGGGAGATTACTATGTAGCCATCCGGGGGCTAAAAGCCCACGATATCCTCTCATTCACTTACTCGCTCACTTGCTCATCTAAACATTCTTTTGCTCCTTTGTGGTGATTAGTCACCAGTCCATTCGTTTACATTGGCTAGATTCTATACAAAAATGATGGTCCAAAGCTGCTTGATGTGGCTTGTCCACGTTCTTCCAGCTGTTGCACTCACTATCACCGCGCCTAGTCAAACTATTCCCTCTTTAGCTCCGCTCTTGGGTTGTGCTTCTGAAAACTTGATTGAGGATGTGGCTTTCGAGACTATCGATCTCGATGACAGTGTGTGGACTGTTCTCCCGCCCACGGCCGGTGCTGTTGTCGATGGATACTTGTTCGTACCTACCTAATCATACATACAGACCAAAGTTCCTTGCAGAGTATAAATGAACTGACTCATATTTTGTGATAGGCATCTGAGTGCCGAAGCTATCCAATCGCAGGCACTGTTGATCCAGACCGTTACTGGCGCCGTTGCGGAAGAGACTTACTCTGTCTCTTTCGATTTCCGCCTGACAGCTGGCTCTTGTACCGTGGATCTTGTACTCAATGGTGCAAATGTCGGCGTTAGCACTCTTACAGCCGGTTCCTGGCAGACTATCACCAAGCAATGGACGGCTGTTAGCTCGGAAGCCGACATGCTCATCCTAATTAGTTGCCCTGGTGCCACGATATTGGGCGCAACAGTGGATGTGAACAACTTCTCGTTCGAGAAGAGATGTGGTTCATTCACCTCGACCAGCGTCTCGGTCCCTACCAAGACCCCATCGGGCTCGCCTGTGGCTACCAGCACTCCGCTCGCCTCTTCTGTCTCCCCATCTGGCCATTCTAGCTCCGAGGGATCGGGATCTTCATCGCTCTCCTCAGTATCACCAAGTAGCACTGTAGGCCCTATCACCTTGACAACACCTATCACTGCTTCTAGTGGTGCCATCAAGCCCTCAGCCTCAACCCCTGGAGCACCGGCATTTTCCCAGTCCACCGCACCGACAACAGCTGCCTCCGTGAAGCCAGCTAGCTCTTCCCCAGCTGGAACTCCTACGCCACATTCAACAACCACTATCACCGGACCTGTAAACCCCGCTTCCAGCAGTGTCATCGAGTCTTCAGCCTCGACACCGGGAACACCAGAATTTTCAGAGTCCACGGCGCCGACAACTGTTGCATCTGTGAAGCCCACTAGCTCTTCCCCAGCTGAAACTTCTACGCCGGATATGACAACCTCTACTGTCTTCACCACTCGCACTGCGACTATCACAGCCTGTCCCTCAACTATCACCAACTGCCCAGCCACTGACAAAACAACTCACATTACAACCGAGACTATCATCGTCTCGACCACCGTCTGCCCTGTTGGAGATGCAACGACCACCACCGATGGATCTAGCCCTACCGGCCCATCTGGCAGTGGCAATGACTACACAATCTCAACAATCCTCTCAACCAGAACTGTCACTCTAACCCAATGCCCGGAGACAGTGACTGACTGCCCAGCCCGTGACCAGACAACACACGTCACGACAGAGACCATCGTTGCCGGTACCACCTCGGTCCCGATCAACACCGCCGTGGCCACCACGACACCTGGTGCAGTGCATACATCGACTGTTCCTGTACAGACGGCAACTGCTGTTCTTAGCAGTGACACAAAGACTTCAACCGCATACTCTATTGTCACCATCACAGGCACCGCTACTTCCGAGGAATCCAGCCCTACTAGCCTATCTGGCAGTGACAATGACTACACAATCTCAACAATCCTCTCAACCAGAACTGTCACTCTAACCCAATGCCCGGAAACAGTGACTGACTGCCCAGCCCGCGACCAGACAACACACGTCACTACTGAGACTATCGTTGCCGGTACCACTTTGGTCCCAATCAACACCGCTGTGACCACCACGGCATCTGGCGCAGTGTATACATCGACTGTTCCTGTGCAGACGGCGACTGCTGTTGTTAGTAGTGAGACAAGGATTTCGACCGATTACTCTATTGTCACTGTCACTGGCACCGCTACTACCGAGGGAGGTGTGATCAGTGAGACTAGTGTTTCTCGCGTTGGTGAAAGTGGACCTGGTTCCGGAGTATCGGCGAACCAAGGTGAAGGTGAAGATGAAGATTCGACCGGCTCTGGCTCTGGCTCTGGCTCTGGCTCTGATATCTCCGCTGGTAGCAATACCGGCCACCCCTCTAATCTGCCCGGCATCACACTCACACGCATCAGCTCAGCCACACCTTCAATCTCCGCCGGAATCCACTCAGCCACAGCCAAGGTTTCCCCCGCCGCGGCCTCTTCTCCTACTGCTGCCACAGGCACAGGCGCAGGTGCAAGCACGGGTTCGGGTTCTACTACAGAAAGCAGCAGCTCAGCAAGTGCATCACCTATGTTCAACCGTGCTTCGTCCTCGACTGTTTCCGGCGCCTTGTCTGCTCTTGGTGTTATCGCTGCTGTCGCACTTTTCCTTTGAGTACATATCTTTTCTGTATATTTTTGATATGGATAATAATGGATCCTGGCATTTTCCTAAGGACCGAGTCTAGAGTTATATAACATATCTAGTAAAGCTTATGGTTTGCCTTTAGAAGGTCGATTGAGCTTTCAAAGTCCGAAGCTTTGTTTTGCAACATGCTTTGAATATTAACGATATTCCTCTGCTTTTGCTCAAAAGGCCTTTGTATACGCCTTTCTAATTGGTTGCCTTTCAGTGTTTTCTTCATTGGCAGGCTTGTCACAGCCCATTCAGAGGCAGTGTAGTAAATTGTTCTTTTTATCCAGGCATGCATGACCTAGGCACCTGACATAAAAGCCCAAACGCTCACCAAAGCATAGAATAGACCGGTCAGCCATATACAATACCGGCATATATAAGGAACCCAAAACAGAAATTGTAAGAAACAACCTGCGAAGAATCATACCATCATGACAAATGTGACAGTGCTTTCGAGATCATTGATTAACTATCAACCTTATAGTTACTCCGTACAACATGCGTACCTACGTACTTGTGCCCTCTTATTTGCCTCCCCCGCCCTGAGGAGAAAGGAGGGGTGCTTGAGTTTTCCGATTTTTTCCTTAAATTACGGCGAAATGGAATCATATAGTGCAGCCAGGAAATATGGAGATGTTTTATTCTAGGGGAAAAGCTGCCGAATGTAGCCGGTCGGGCATCGTTGGTCCTGTTATCCTGTTTTTTTCCTTTTCCTTTTTTTCTGTAGGTCCATTTATTGATGTATTTATTGTCTATGTTGGTTAGAACCATCACATGTGGTGCAAGGTGTATATAGGCATGTACTATATGGTACCTTGAAAGAATCGGAGGAACTGCATCAGCATGGCAAGGCACGAGGTCCGAGGGGCTTCCTTTTTTCTTTCTGGAATTCATTAATACGCGCAATTTTCGATGCCTGTTATAGTTAAGTATTTTAAGTATTTAAGGATTAATAATGTATTTCTAGACCCCTCTTGGAGAAATGAGTTCCATATATATGGGGCTTTTTATTGGCACGCAGAAGATGTATGCGCCTTTTAAGCAGATAGGCACATAAATATAGCGGGCTGTCAGCCTCAGATAAATACCTGCCAAGACACTGTTTTGCCTCCAAGAGTAAGTACATGTACGGAGTACCTCCAACATATCCATTTGCCCATGCAGCATGACGCTACTCCGTATTAGGATGCAGACTGCAGAGATCAACACCCAGGTCTTCGCTGAAGGCGGAGTTGTCCACGGTGAGTCAGAGCCCCGGTTCCTCCCTAGGTGGCCAGTTAGACTGTGTCTGACATGTCAAAGCCCAGAAGAGGTAGGGGGAGTGCTAGTTATGTACGGAGTACGGAGTAGATGGAGTGTTTGTCAGATGCATGGTGTCGGTTGCCCTTGCTTAGGTGTACGGAATAATGAGCCGTGTGATTACATATCGAGGGATAGAATGACCCGGCGACAGCTGTAAGGTTTGTTAGTTTGACTATAGTGCCTACTTGTACTCCGTAGTTGTACATAATTGGAGTTGGTTTGTTGGCAGAGTCCGGATGAACACATCCGTAGGTAGCACTACGTAGGGGTTTTGTAGATTCAGAAACGGAGGGATGCGGCATTTGATGTTCAGATGTTTTTTTATAGATATGATAATGCTAGTGATTTAATAAGGGGATATTTAGTATTTACTCTTTACTATTCAAATTTCTTGAAAACGAATTCCAACCAAGGCGACGGAATATACTGAGCTTACTAAGCCCGAATTTCATTTTTTTCTGCCAAAGCTCAATACAAAACTCCGTACCAGTCAGAACCAGCGAGAACCAGTGACACGGACGTTGCATCACCGGATTTGCCTGAAGGGTCTAGGGCCTTTTTCTTTACTTTAACAGCCTTACAATACAATTACATGATAATACCTGCACTATGCACTGTGCACGTTTTCAACTTATAGGAAACGCAGGATAGATTTTTATAGTAAAAAATCCAAAAAATCGGGATAGTCTAGAAAACTAATAAGAAATGACGATCTTGTTAAATTCACATCCAATAAGCATCATGATTCATACTTTGTAGGTGGCCTAATTTACCTGATACTAGCAGAGACACGATGTGTGAAACAGCAATTGAGCTTTTTAAATTTAGAATTTCCATATGTGGGCCGAGTGACTCCTTCCCTGTATACCAAATACATGTAAAATTACCGGGGCAACCCAACGGCCTTTTCCCACAACGCCCCTATACAACTTTTCTTCTCTTCATCCTCCTTCTCAACCCCGTTTTTTGTATCAATCTTCTCCCGTGTCAACGAGCTTTTCACTAAGTGTCGTTGATCACCTCATTCTGTGAGGTTTGCGTCTACGCGTGGGAAATTTAGTTTTCTTCCACCGGTGCTCTTCCTTCTCCCAGCGCGTTCGGTTCACAATTCTACGTGGGCTCTTCCGCTTCGCTTCGACCTGGTTATTCGCCTCTCAAAGCCCTTCGAATTGACTGGATTGTGATCTACCACCCTCCCCCACAAGCTGCGTCACTGAGGCACTTCAAGCGAGGACTGTGTCATTGTTCACCGTTCACCACACTCCTTCCAATTCCCATTTACTTGTCATTTGTCTGTTGGATCATTGAACGCACCTCGATGTCATTCAACTAGAGACTGCCCCCTAGGAATACGACAGAGCGATCCGCTCGCCGAGCACCGCTCTTCTCCTCTTCCTCCCCCCCAGGATCAGGATCTGGTGGAGTAGACGGTTCGTCTCCTTGTTTCTTTAACTCTTGTCTCTCGGTCCATCAGGCTTTTGCCTACCCCGGAGGCCTTTTATGCTGATTCATCATCTTCCCTGGCAACAGAATACGTCTAGCTCCCCGTCCTGAACTGGTAACCGCCCTTCCCCCTCTCAAGATGCCGTCCTTCTTCGTCCCAGGCCACCATGGCCTGCCTACGCCTCCCCATGTCAACGGTGGTCGTATGGAAGACCCATCATTCTACCCAGTTGGTCACGCAGGATTCCCTCCTCGCTACCACCAAAGCGGCAATGAATTCATCGAACAATACTCGCAGTCTCTGTGTTACGCCAAACCCACTTCGATGAATCTCCACCAGTCCGCCCATCCGATGAACACTGCTCGCGATCATCACATAATGAACCAGCAGCCCATGTTCAACCCCATGGTTGGCACTGGATTGCCCTCAATCCGCAGCAACGTCCAGCTTCCCCCCATGGATGCTACAATGCCGCCTCACTACCGTCGACAGGAAGCCGCCCCGATGCAACAGCAGCTCGAACAACCCCGCAAGGAGGAGAAAGCAACTGGAGGTGTCGCAGCTCACCTGGATTATGAGATGGATCGCATGTCCGACTTTGTGGCAGAAATGGCTCAGGGAATGTATGATTTGTTCGAGACCAACATCACCATTGCAGATATTGACCTCGTGCGAAGCATCTACCCAGGATCTTCGGTTCCCCCCCAGTTTCGGAAATACGTCTTTCAGATTTTGTCCTCGACACGCCTCCCAAGTTCTACCATCCTGCTCGGTCTTTTCTACCTGGCCAGCCGTATGCGCCTGGTGTCAGCCAAACGCGCCTTCACCAAGGCAGACAGTAGCCAAGTCTACCGCATGTTGACTGTGGCTCTTCTGTTGGGCAGCAAGTTCCTTGATGACAATACCTTCCAGAACAAATCCTGGGCTGAGGTTAGCAACATCCCCGTTGCTGAGTTGAACCACATGGAATTGGAATGGCTTTTTGCCTTTGACTGGAAGATTCACGACCGCATCTACGACAAGCAGGATGGTTTCGCCTCGTGGCGCGCGCACTGGGACACCTGGCGGGTCAAGGCAACAGCTCGGACTCAGGACTCTCGCCAGACTCTGGCACCTCTCGAGACCAACGTGGCCCGCGGCCAGGCTATTAGCAAGCCCCTTATGTCCCCCGAAGGCCCTATCCCGCCGCAGTACCAGCGGAGCTCCCAAATTGAGAACTCGTGGCTCAACCCGACCGCGTCCGAGTACTCGCCTCCCTCTGCCCTTTCCAGCGGGCCCACAACCCCCGACTACTACTCGGTTGGTCCTTGGGGTTACGCTAACCCGCCTCCGCCTCCGCCCTACTCGCGGGGCTGGAACGCACCCTCACAGTACATGGTTCACCCTGCACCTCGCTCCCAGCCTCCGTCCTATCATCACACTCCGGCGTACGGTTTGCCATTCGCACAGAGTCTCTGGACGGGTCATGGTTCGTCGTGCTGCTGCACCTACTGTGCCAAGCATCTCGAGCACTACATGTGCAACAATGCATTTCCCTCTATGCATCAGCCGATGATTGCAACCTAGTTGGTGATACTTGGCAAGTTCTGCCCACGACCTCGGATGGAACAGACTGTGTCGACGGCTCAAGATCACAAGTCTCGCCGCATAATTCCTTCTTGCTACAACTCTAGACTTCTTTCACCGTTAGTTTGGGCGACTCGCATGGGATTTATTCCGATACCGTTTCTTCTTTTGCTTGAATTGTTTTCAATCTTGCGCCTTTCGACCTTTTGCTTCGTTCAACTTTCACTTACTTCTGAGCACTTGGCCTACCGCGTCCCAAAAAGTATTTCTGTTCTGCGTCCGCTGGTTCTCGTTTGGCAAAGCGAAAAAAAAACTCGAAAATGGAAAAAAAAGAGGAAAAACGCTCCCACAGCGGACATTGGCATGCTCCCGGCAAGCCCACAATGCAGAATATTGACTCAACTTGTTATATTGGTATCACTTTGATTTCATTGAGTCTTACTTCTAACCTCATTGTTGGGTCTTTCATTTTTCCCTCCAAAGGTTGCCGGGGCCGCAGTCACGACTATCACGAATCCCCAAAATCTGACTTCTTTGTTTATTACCCACGACTTCGGTTCATATCCTTGGTCCTTTTGTTTTATGCTTGGCATTTGTGTCTCGCGGTGATTACCTATAGAGTGCTTTTTTCTTCTTTTTCACTTCCATTTCATTTCGGTACATTATTCCCATTCGCCACGCTACGTGCAGTGCCCCGACGTTAATCGTGTTTCTTCACTTCTCAACTCAAATTTTCAATTTTCATTCCTTTTTTTTTTTTTTTTTCTTCTTTCGATTCCTTCGATTTGTTTTTATCTTGCTCTACCGAGCCGTTCTTCTCCAATCAATGAGATCAACAATTCAAGGATTTTTTCCGAGCCTTCTAAGCTGCATGATGTATCCCATCATTCCCACCCACCTCTCTCTCCCCTCGCTTGTGACACAGATGGCATACGATTGGTCTTGGGATTTCGGTACCCTTGATACATCTCCTGTCTGATGTCATTTTGAGAGTCTAGTGAGTTCCCGCGATTTGACAACTGTAGTATAGCTGAATTTTTCTGCTCTTTGCCATTCGGCACTGCCAGCGAGCTGGGGCCGTCCCGCTTCCATTGGTCATGCGTTGACCTGGCTACGGGCGTCCGTGGCTATGGCTGTCAATGCTCAGTTCCTTAGATGTTTCACTAATTAGCGGCAAAATATTGTCTTTGTCAGGACTACCAAACTTTGGTGTTTTGTTCTCGGACTCGTATGGATTTCCCCCTCGTACCTTCTGTTTGAACGGTGAGCCTCCACTACTCTATAACCACTGCTAGATTTGGCAACCTCTTAGGCTCTTTTGGGACATTTAATGAATTCTGAGTCAGGTCTCGTAATATATACTTTTATGACGGAATTTAATATTGATTTAACGCCGAAAAGGGCCATCATTCTGAAGTAAGATGTAGGTCAAATGCAGTTGTACTAGAGGGTAATCCAGACAGTCGTCACGGGTCGTAAGCGTAGATGTAGAAAAGAAAGAGACAGGAAATAAGGAGAAGTGCAGCCAAGGCATCGACGAAAGCAACTGGAACAGATTTAGTAAACGCTCCCTTCTATACTTTGATTTTGCTTTTGCTGCTCTTCTAATGATAATTCCTCGATGTGGATATGAGTTGAGGAATCCGATGAAGAACTTTCTGGTCTTCGCGCCTGTGATTCCGAGTTGGATGACTCGTCTCCGTCGCCGAGGATATTGGCCATGCGGTGCTCGGGTTGGTCGGTGGAAGAAGAAACATGGTGGTGATAATAGTGATGGTATTGATGGGGATGGTGCAGACGAGGTTTCTTCGATTTCTCGGTGGCATTGCCGCTCATTTCGTCATCGCCGTCATCTTCGAACTCCTGAGAGGGACCACGCTGTTGAGTCTGCTCGTTGGACGGGAATTCGAAATTTTGCTGGTTCATATGGGACAAATTGCCAGTGGCGATGCCGGGAGAAGTTGGTACAACGCGACGGTGAGCATGATCGTCACTTTCATCATCGGATGGGGCGAGGCTGTTCGCTCCGCTCATGGAGCCTCCACCGTCACGGCCGCCAAGGTGGAGAAGGGCATACTTTAGGTGCGCCGATGATGATGCAGATGATGTGGGTGTATGGTCTTGGCTATTTCGGTTCAGTCCGTGCAAGTTTGGACGTTTTGGAGGCAATGAATTCACGTTTGGTCGGGCTTCGGAGCCTGAATCGTACTGCTTTGTGGTGTCTCTGTTGTCATTGTCGCGAAGTGTATGCTGCGGATTGGAGACGCGATGAACGCTGGGGTTTCGACTGGTATCATCCTGGGCGAAATTGTCTTCTGAGAACGATACCACCTCGTCGATGGATATAGACTTGTGAAGTTTGGAGCCAAAGCCGCCTACATGGTCATCGGCATGCTTTGGTTGGGCATAGCTGGAATTCAATAGATTCACTCGCAACGATTGTCTTCCCTCTGTAGTCATGCCGTGATTACAGCCGTCGGGGCAGCCTCCCCACTTGCGCCGAGTTGGGGTATTATCTGTGTGACCGAGAGGTGGGATGGGCGCAGGGACCTGACCTTTCGATGCATTTTCACGATCTCGGTCTTTTCGAAGATCTGACCAGGTACGAAGCTTGTTCTGTAGTGTGTATTTCCCGTTTTCGGGATTGAGGGTCAATACTAGGAACTCGCAATGATTGATGTTGCGAAGGTCCTCAAAATATTCCACACTCCAATGATACCACTTCATGAGAAATACTCGTGCCATGAGGCCGTGCGTAACAAGAACACAGACACTGGCAAAGTCATCCTCGCCAAACTGGCGCCAGAGGGACTCGTTAAACCCACTAACTCGATCATAGGCATCTGCTGCGGATTCACCATTGGGAATCCGGTAGAAGAAATGACCGTAATCTGCCCGCTCCATCCACATGCGCTCCATCTCCGTGGAACATGGCTGGAAATTACCAAAATCTTGTTCCCGCAGCCGAGGTTCTTCATAAACCTTGATTGTGTCTTTCCGGAAAGGTGAAGGAGCGGGTGTATCAGAGGTTAGGGATTCAATAATTCCCTCGGTAGTCTCTCTTGTCCGCCGATATGGGGAAGTAAAGAAGTGAAGTGTATCGTCGGGTTGGAGAAGGTCACGTAGTCGATGGCCTGCATCATCGGCTTGTCGATATCCTTCAGCAGTGAGCTTCACACGGTGGTCTGGAATAGTTTGATGAATATCGCGGTTTTTGTTGCCTTCTGACTGTGCATGGCGCACTAAAATGATCATCTGTACGTAGGAAACTGTCAGTTTAAGCCAAGACATATGTCAATCACTCAGAAATAGAGACTTACCCGTGGCTTCCCCATGGTGGAAGGGTCATGGGGAACGTAATGGGTTTCGAATGCGGGGGAGGGGCTAGTAGAAGTATCCTATTTGCAGCCACAAGGACAACGATGGAAAAAGAGAAGGAAAGAAGAGAACAACGATGACCTAACTATCTGTCTATCTAAAACAGAGAGAGAGAGGATCGAAAAAGCAAAGAAAAAGTTCATTCCAGTCGGGGATACAACTGACCCGCACGGGCCAACGGGCGGGTGATCCGTGGACCGTTCAGCGCTCCTCTTTTACGCATCTTACGAATAGCATCAACTCGCCATGGCCGATTTGCTGGAGCTACTCGCTCCACATCTAGATGCAACCAAATCGCACGATGTAACTACAGACAAATATCTCACTCGCCTCTCAACCTTGTCGCTCGAAGCTCTCCAGACCACAGAACCCCCATCGCTCGCCCAATCCTCCCACTCGACCCTTCTGTCCCTTCAAGCCCTATCGAACCGTTCGCACCGGGCATTTGTCACCTCTGCCGATAATTTGTCCACACTATGTACATCTGTCCCACAGTTGACCCGTGAGGCGCAACAGCTACGCGATGCTATCCCCAAACTCGACGAGGAGGCCGTTGGGTTCTCCACCAAATACAGTAAAATCACAGACAATGCCGCCCTAGAACGACGGAAGAAAGCGATGCAGCTCTCTCGCAACGTCGATCGATTGTCAGATATCTTGGAACTACCAAGTCTGCTGTCCAAAGCCGTCTCCGCGGCCTCAGTCAACTCCGGTACCGGTGTCTCCTCTACAACCTACTCCTCTGCACTTGACCTGCATGCACATATCAAGCGACTACAAACATTATACCCCGAATCACCATTGATTCAAGACGTTGCATCCCAGGCGGAGGATGCTATGAAGGACATGACCAGTAATCTGATTACGGGGCTCCGAACCCAGAACCTACGGCTAGCAGCTGGTATCCGAACTGTGGGTTGGCTGCGGCGAGTGGCCCCGGATCTAGATATGATTCAGAGTGATGGGGCAGTCGGGACAGGAGAAGGCGCTCTTGGTGCTATCTTCCTGGTCTGTAGACTAGCGCATTTGGTATCGACGCTTGAAGCCCTGGATCCCCTTCGCGAGCTCGCAGACCAAGAAACCCAACGGAGACTCGCTGGCAAGGACAAATCAGACACGAACTCGTGGTCCGGTGGTCAGCAGACCGACCGCTACTTAAAAAGATACATTGAGATCTTCCGTGAGCAGAGCTTTGCAATTGTCTCGTTATACAAAAATATTTTTAACTCCGAGCAATCCGAATCCGAGTTTGCCATCTCAGGTTTACGAGGTGCAGACGGTCACTCCAAGGCCAAGTCAAAGCCAGCACACTCAGATGATCCCTTGCAACGTCTCCCCCCAGCTTTGGCTACTTTCCCAATGCATCTCGTGCAATTGCTCACGGATACAATGCGCTCATATCTCCCCAACGTCCGCGATCGGAGTTCAAGGGAAAGTCTTCTCACCCAGCTTCTTTACTGTGCCGCAAGTCTTGGTCGGCTAGGCGGTGACTTTGGCATGATTTTGACCGAGCTAGGCGGGGAGGAAGATACCGAAGATATGGCCTATGAATGGGAGGAGGTCATGCGCAAACATCGAGCTTTGGCAGGACGTCTGGAGCAATTGACCAGTCGAGTGCCGGTAAATTAACATTCATATACCCCGGAAGGTTAATGCCATTTCGAGATGGTGGTGGCACTTGGTGGGGTCCTTGTATAATAGAACATAACGAAGCGTTTTTCTTGCCTTCTCAGCGGACTGTCAAATTGACATGATCCACATACAAATGCATCCAGATATTGTATACTTTAGCTGCCTCAAGATTCCAGCTAGCTAGCGATACTTGCATCGCCGGGTTCTATTCTGGGCTGCTTGTATTCGGATTCCTAATATGCAGTTCCTGCGGGATGTTCTCATTGTCAGGTCCGAGGATAGAAGGTCTGAATAAGCTGCCTTCGAACTCGGACTTTATGAACGGCAAAGAATCAATAGTCAGTAATTAGCCAAGAAGTTGGAGGAAAAAATTATATATAGGGGTAATATCAAGCTAACTGTAGTGTTGCCACAATTGGTTAGCTCTCATTTGCCGAGTGACTCACGAAGACTTCGAGCCTTGTGCAGTTGAAATACAATCATACATAAAGCGTGCAGTTGTTCCACTTGGAAGCCTTGCACTTAGGTTGGCTTTTGGCAAAATGGTTGTCCACTTTAATCCGCTCACTAAAGAGCCCTATCTCCAACTCCCAGCACCATGTACAAACATCATCATCACTCCACACCGTGAATACCAGATCGAGGAGGCATCTGCTGCAATGACCGAAATCCTCAATGATTCACGGGTGTACTCCTGGCTACAGGGGCCACCCTACCCTTTTCTGCCTGAGCACGGCATAGACTGGGTCAAGACGAAAGTAGCAGAAAACGAGGGTGTCCTGTCTACTCTGCAAAGAGAATTCGAAACGCAAAGTCAGCAGGGCGACGGTTCAAATTCCCCAGAGGAGCTGGAGTTTTTTGATAAATGCCCTTTCATTTGTATCCGCAAAGTAACAGAAAGAGACCCTGCGACCGGCGCTCCGCTTCAAGATGTCTTGATCGGAGACATTTCACTGATGCGGTATGCTTTCTATGAGCTGCAACCCAATAGCTCGGAGTTTGTGCTGGCACAGGATCAGAATAATGATTTGCCTGTGGGGCACAAGGATATCGTCTGGGGTATAGGATGTATGTATGGGCACCTTAGTGAGACTCGAGGTCAATTGCTAATAATATTAACAGACTATCTTTCTCCTACTCAACACAGCCGAGGAATCATGAGTGTTGCTGTTAGAACTGTCATTCAAGACTGGGCTATCCCTCGGATGAACCTTCATCTTCTTAGAGGCAGCTTTTTTGTTGGGAACATAGGGAGCATGAAGGTATTTGAGAAGAACAACTTTGAGGAGGTTGGTACATTCAAAGACTGGGCTCCGGCAAGCCCAAACAAGGGACGAGGGAAGATGTCGATTGTTGTAATGAAATGGAAGGGGGTTTTGTAGGTACTATCAAGCAATATCGCTTAGCATAGGAATAACTGTATTTTGTGCGGAGTAGTCTCGATCGATAGTTCTATGATCTTTCCGATCTTTAATTAACGCAGCCCACCTGCCTACATCAGGGGAGAAAATAAGTGGCCCTGTAGCGGGTCTAATCCTTTGGCTAAATAGATTCAGCCTTTACGGAGTACTACTCGTACAAGTTTGGACATCTGCTTGCAGCTTAATGCTAACCAATATGGTCACTGATGCGTCAATTCGACACATCCAGTTGCCTATGCAAGGTTGATGATAGATAATTCCCCATCTCTCCTAACGATTAGGAGTGTTCTGTCCCTGAATTGTACCTGGTCACGCGACTACTGTTGGATCCACTCTGTATGATGCAGTTATTGGCTAAGTTCTACTTTGTACGGAGTCCTCGATCTCAGATTTCAGCCTGTGAAGGAAATAATCGTCTTTTGCAAGCCAAGGTGTGGATCTCGAATCTCATGGCCGAATAGATTCATGCTCATGCACGTAGATCACGAACTATTGATTGTCTTATATTACTTTTTCCTTTAGCTCCTTATTCGCCCGGTTTGAAATCAAATAGAAATAACCAAGTGAAATAAACCGAACCAATGCTAGCTGACAGGGGAATAACAATCAAATGAATTGTAATGATAACGTGCACAATAATTCTTGCTAGATGTTGGGAAGAGTATTGAGCAAATTAATGCGCCTGCAGGTATGGAGTGCTTCCGTACGGGTACAGTTGCTTCTCATTTTCCTAAATAGGAAGCTATGCGCATCTGCATTTTTGTGGATTAAGAGCTAACACAGCTGGCTTTTTCAAACGCCACATATTTCTAGGGCTCTTTGAATGGTCCATAGAGTAAAACTCTCAGCATAATTGAATTTTGCTCTCAAATAAGCGATTGGATCTGGCATTCCGATCTCATATTGTCAATAAATTATGTACTCTGCGGTACTCTGAGAATATCTGTGATCTTTCCGGGTCGGATGAGTTGCGAGGCATGGAGAGTGCGAAACCTTCACCACATTGTAGGCTATTCCATTCGACCTTGTATGTTGTACAGAGTACAGAGTACGACCTACAAATCGGGTAAGAATAGGGTGGAGTAGCAAGGGGAAAAATGCCGCCGATTGGAATGAAGCGAGCTCGAAAAGGCGCGTGGCTAACCCCCGGGAGAAAAACTGTAGGACAGACCCATCTGCTTGCATAGCTTAGGCGCAGAATTTGGATAGCGCTGTAGATCGCGAGATTGGAAGGTCAATGCTCCGTTGGCCGTTCTAGTATATTAATGGCTCTGTTTCCTTTCTTCGGTGAACCCACAGAGAGAAATTATCAGGATAATTCATGATGCATCTCTCAACTATATCCGTGCTTCTTTCGGTTGCTCTAGCACAAGCTTCTTCTTTCATCACTCCTAACAGGCACGCTACAAACAAGGTCAGTGGTCCCAAGACCCCTTTTATGGTACCAGGCCATATAAGTTTCAAATGCTCATACTTCTTAGGAGCCGGATTACCCAAAAAGATGTTACCCCGACCCCTGTAAAGGAGTGACCCACGTGAACTCTACTGCTGTTTGTGGTGACCCACGACTTGGTCCGAAAGTCCTCCCCAGATATTTCCCTCTCTCCAATGAGCTCAAGACATACGCCCGCTTCGGCGAGCTCTGCCCAATTGAGTTCCTGGAGAAATGGACCGTGAACGCTTCCGACCCCACGGCTTACTGGATCTATCCAGACAGCGATGGATTTGCCCAAACATCCACGAATGCGTCTATTCTTGGCAATTTTACACTCCGCGTGGGCCAGAAGCTTGATAGATTCGGGTCTGAATTTGGAAAGTTCTTGGCACCTCTTGGAGCTCCATATATCGAGCGATCCCTGCCACCATCCAATCTGTTCGCGCCAACCAACAGCAGCTTCCCGTACAACTACCATGTCTACCAGGTGACCAAGGAATTTGATGTCCTTTTGGGGCCCATTTCGCCTTGGTTTGAGCAGCCTGGGTTTGGATCCCAGCTTTTGGCTCTGACTAGTGTGGCGGATCTGTTGGAAGAGGGAGCCTTGAAAAGACTGGATTTGCAAGACTATGATGAAGCCGAAGAATACTCTGCGGGTTATCTGCCTGCTCCTAACAAGACTTCCACCTAAGTAGTCTTGGGAATACATGTCATGGAGAAAGACGGGTGTTCAATTTGGCGCATTGGGTTCTCTTTCTTACAGTATATGCTAGTTTAGGTTTTAATATCCAAACGCAATGTCACCAGAAGCTCTCGAGCATTTATCCCCTGCGACTCTACGAAGAAATTACAATTTCTTGAAAGATGGGCGGAAGTACTTTGCTTTATTAAACGCATGGGGAAAAAAGAGAGATAATGATTAAAGGTTAAGGTTAAGGTACAATAAAAAGGCCCTCAAGTATATCTCAAGCGCCTAGCTCGCAATATCAGAATGGAATGGCATTACTGATCTTCTGATTTAACTTGACAGGGTATCCCAGCATACTACTATTTGTTAGTCTAGATATCAAGAAGTAGCAGGACAGCGGGACATACTCCTTTCCAGTTTGAGTGAAGCCGCAGCCACAAAAGATCGATAGTGGATAGCAGAAGACCTAGAAAAGGGTTGTCATGAGCCTGGATTCAAGCAAGAGAGTCTTTATGTTATTGCTCGAGAAGATACTATATTTACTTACCGCTGACACAACGGTAGTGAAAAACCCTGTCCATTTCGTCAGGCATGGGTTCATTTTTCAGCCATTCACACTGCATAAGGAACCGAACTTACCGAGTGTCGGGCCAACCACTTTACAGTGACATGGGTTCTGATCAGTGCCGCATTGGAAGCAGATGGGGAAGATCGGAATGAAAGGGATGTCGGCCATCGTGTCGGATTTAGCTAAGCTGCTAGGTGTATGAACTAGAATTTGTAGAGAAATGTCCCGACCTTCATCCAGACAGATTTCTCGAAGAAATGAGCTTCCCCAGATAGAGAATTCACCGCTTAGTTACGTTGAGTTTGGAGTTCTATCATGATGACGCAAATGAGATCGAGATCGATCATCCTGTTTTAGGTAGTGGGGTGCTTTAGTTCATGTCGGGATAGAGGTGATCTTCATACTAGTGACAAGTACAAACCCGTCCCATCAAAGTAGACTAAGTCCAAGTGTATGTACTCCGCACGGAGTGCATCTAGTTAGAGATGCCAGCCTAAAATTAACCTCAAAAATGCCCCCGGGACCGGGCCGGAGCCTCCCGATAAAAATAACTGAAGTGGCTAACGGGAAAGCCACGCAATCTGACACAGCCACGACGCGTGCCATTTCCCCTCAAACCAGACGTCATTGTGTACTCCAACCGTTGAAACAACCTTGCAAGGTCTCAACCCCCTGACTCTCATATTGAGCCTTGTCCCGCTGGAATTCAAATAGCATTCTTGTGCAACAAACATCCAGATCCACTCCAGGCAGCAACAGTGCCCAGAAAAAGACCCAAGGCTGCAACTATTTTCGACAAGAAACCCGTTCTTGGCATATACTAGCCTATTGTTTTTTCCCCCGCCCGCTCTCATCTTTTAATTCCACCTATCGCCTCGTTTTTCTTCCAAAAATTCCCTGGACTACCCTCCGGTACCACCGATAAAAAAACCCCACCATGGGCGCCCGCAATATCATTCCCCTCATCCTGCTCCTCGTCTTTGTTGGCATCATCGCCGCGGTCGGATTTGTCGTCTACAGCATCATGCAGGATGTAGGCAAAAATACGCGCGAAAAGATGGAGCGCAAGAATATAGCTTTCACCAAGGACGGCATGAAGGTGCAAGTAAGGGAGGTCAAAGATGAGGCCTACAAGGACCAGACCCAGAGGTGCGTTTCGTCTTGCTGTGTTATTTTTCCCGCCCTTGCTTGTGCGTGACGACTGACCCGATATTTTCCCCATAGTGTCCTATTCAACATGTGGAACCACACTTCCTTCCCCGCTTACAAAAGCCGACTGTGGGATATGGCTGGCTCGTCTTCATCGGAGCAGAAGGTTGCTGAGAAACGCAAGTGATATGTTGGACCTGCATGATTTTCTTGGTTATGTTTCTGGTTCACCGGACTGCTTCATTCTGCACCAAGTTTCGCAATGAGGTTTCGCAATGAACACTTATCCGCTCGTGGATCTACACCGAGAATCTAAGAAGTTATTTAATTGATGCCCTAATATGACCACTTTCAAGGCTGAAACGGCCACCTTTCCACAAAAAGTTACCCGATCGAAGATCAGAGTGGATCCACCCTCTTGGTGCCCCGCCGCTTATGTATGTCATCTAAATTGTAGAGACATGTCGATGCTGGTATAGTACTAGTGATAGTAGTTCTGGGCTTTCTATCGTCTCGGTCAATGCCAGTCCTGATATACGATCTTTCCATTCAAATTTGCGATCACTATGCGCCATATACTCCAGATTATGCTTCCTAAATCAATACGGGGCTCTCAACTCGACTTTGCTTTGAGATCGCCTCTGGTTTAAGTTGTTCAGTGTACTACATGTTGACAATTTAAGCGTTGAGTCGGTGTCAATCGACTGGATTGCATTATCATGACCCTGTGAATAAGTGTACTGGGTAGGTATCGTTCCACTCCATTAGACTACCTGATATCATAAAACGAGAGATTCCCGCATCGAGCCCGAAATCTCAAGGATTTGCTCGGTATTCCACCGTAGTTGCACTATCAATATAGCAACTCTCCACTTTCATCCATTATGCCTTAGCCTGGGCCTTGCGACGTGCATAGTAGCTCTCATCCTGGTTCAAAAAGAAGAACGGTTCCGGTTCTGGCTGCCCACTACCACCATACCAGGTCGGTTTAACCAACGTCTTGGGCGTATCGTCTCGCCGCTTGTTGGTAAAAGCCGTCTCGAATGTCTTGGCCCACTGAACTCTGTTGTTTAAGCCCTCAAGCCCCCACAACTCCTGCAAAAAATGTAGGATTGAGCTGTGGGTGTAGGCCGAATCGTCGGCATACATGGTGCCTTGATCGTGGATGAGAAGGTTGGCGGGCACCCAAGGTGAGATTATGAAGGCAGGGACACTATGATGAGAAGGTAAGCCGAATATTCATACGGTAAAGCTGAAATTGGGATGAGAATGCATACCGGACTCCTAGACGTGTAAAGTCATACGTAAAATTGTGGTTTGATGACGTGCCATTGAAGATGATGCCGTCTTCGGGTTGAGGCACATTGACTGGCGTGGGGACATGGTCAGCGAATCCACCGTGCTCATCAAAATTGATGATCAAAACACTATATTTCAGGGTTAGTATTACCGCACTCAACATGAGGATAACGGAACCAACGCATTGTCCCAGTACTTAGAGCGACGCAGGGCATCATATAAGTGCTTGACCATCTGCTCCCCTGCTGCCATACTGCTGGTAGGGTGCATTGAGTCAACTGTACAGCACTCCGGGTTTAGGTAGGAGAATTCAGGCAAAGTGCCGGCTTCTAGATCATGATACAGCTCTGTCGCATGGACGAGACGGTCCATTGCATTGTCTTGCACCCACTTGATATTATCGTTAGTAACTGATCTGGCAATTGGAGTACAAAAAGTACTGACTTTATACATGAATCCATCGACAATGTCGGTCTCGTAGTACTACATAGAAATGTTTAGCCAGTTGTCAGTACAAAGGAACAAGACTTTTCTCACATTCTTCCAGCTGATATTTTTCTTGCTGAGCGATTCAAAGATCGAGACCGCACAAGTAGTCCCAGTCACATTGTTCCAGAACCCAGCGGACTGATCGGTGTTATCGACAAAACCACAGGATGAGCCCGAGGTTGCGAATTGTCGATTAGGGTTAGTAGGACCCGGGTGCTCGGCGAACTGCAAGGTAGAGTCGACAGTCAGTTTTCTGCAATAATACATATCGTAGCCAAGTGTAGACTGAAGAACCCACATATGAATCAAAAAAGGCAAAATTGCTTGCCAGCTCCACCAGAGTGGCTGTCTTCTTCCGGTTCAAGGCCTTGATCACGAATGCCGAATCTCCAGGGGTAGCATTGTACTTCTCCGATTGGCGCTCGATAAAACCTGCCATTTTAGGGACATCCTGTTTGGTCGGGTTCCACTGGCGGAAGATTTCGTAGGTGACTCCGCCGAAGTTGTGGTCCGGGTCTTTGAGCGGCACCTCGGTTGCATCCGGTTCAGCGCAGATTGCTAGTGGCTCCCCATAGACTGTCCAATTGGGGTTGGTGTAGTCATTGCAGAAGGTGAGATTGCGCAAATTGTCAATTTCTGGATGGAAGTCCCAATAGCCAGCGATGTTGTCAAATGAGTGGTTTTCAAGAGTCAGATAGATAACATGCTTGATCTGGAAGTGCTCTTGTAAGCCATGTGGTCCTTTGGGGTTATATGCTGTGCGATCCACTCACGTTCTCTCGCAGCTGGCCCCACACCTGAGTATTCCCAGTTGGATGAGTGGATGTAAGACTGGCCAAAGCCATGAGAATAATGAAGCCCCAGTAGAAAATCATCTTTGCTTTTGTTCAACGCGAGACTGTGAGCTCCTTCGTGAAGCGTGCGAAGAAGCAAAAGAAAAGTGAAGAAGTGAAGAAAGGAAATATGCTTACAACTACCTTATGTCTTCTACATCTACGTACACTATCACCTGCCACAGAGTCAGAGGGCTCAGAGGTGAAAGTCATGCTCAGCTGGATATCAATGTTCCTCGTGGATTCAAGAATAACATCATCGGACTTCATTTCAACCCTGTTTTATTTAGATTGAGATGATATTCCATGCCCAGTAGCCCACGTGCGGTGAAAACTCTTCCAGACTGCGAAGTCTAAGCGATATTGCCACTAACCTCAGAATGTCTCGCAATATCCGACCGTAACCTCTTAGGGCTGGCAATGGGTATAGTTTATATTCACACGTGAGCCCGTGCGGAGTCCATGGACGAAAGGGGTCTGGATTAGAAATGGTAGTTTTTGATTGGTCCCACACCCCAAGTTAAGCAGCGGGAGTCCCTTTCACGGTCCCACATGGCCCCACTCCAAAGCCGAACCTCCTCGAATCAGCGTTGCACGTGCCCTGGCCATGAGGGGAACGCCAAGCACGTTGTCTTCCTGTGTCACTCGATAGGCTGTGGTCAACGGTGGGAGCTGATCACTTCTCTGGCAATATATGAGGTTGCAAGCATGGCAAGCCTCATGATTGCATCGCGTGCTCTAACTGGCTGGTTCTCTAATCGCGCTGTATCCCTCGCTTTCACTTAAACAAACATTCCCAGGTCTTCTTCAAGGGATACTGCAAGGTTTCATTTCAGTCCTCAATCCCTCCGACCTCACCGTGTTAATCAGTTCCCTATTCGGCGCCATGTCGAGTTATATGCCCCTTCCCGATCGCAGAGCTTCTTCGGAAGATGAAAAGGACCCTCGTGCTCAACTTCGACCGGATATCGAGGCAGGGAACAACACACACCGTCACAATGACCCGGAGCGAAGGTCGTCTCGTATTCTCGACGGTCGCACCGTGTCCGATGCCATCATCGGTCTTTCCGACGGCATGACTGTGCCTTTCGCCCTAACGGCTGGACTCTCTGCGTTGGGCGATACCAAAATCGTTGTTTTCGGTGGACTCGCAGAGCTCATCGCAGGAGCGATATCGATGGGACTCGGTGGGTATCTAGGTGCTAAAAGCGAGGAGTAAGTCTGCCTGAATCCTCAAAGCCTGCCTCCTATGAAAATATACTAGGGAAACTATTGGAGGTTTGACAGCTGACATCTTCCTAGGGAGTCATACAAAGCTACATTGAAAGAAACGGAGACGCAGACTTTGACGGATCCCGCGTCTGTATCTGACACCATCTCCGACATTTTTGAGCCCTA